CTCCTCTTGAGACAAGTAACAAAGCGCTGTAATTCTTTCACTTCTAGTCGAAAAACCTTTACATAAATGTCTGCCCTTGGATGTTGCACTAACCACAATTTTGACTAAACAAGGTTGGTTTAGACCATCTGCCATCAAGCACTCGACGTTCAACGGAATGACCCTTGATCCTCTTCCACTGTTTCGAAACTGCTTTGATCTTGAAAATCATTTCTGCAAGCGAATCTGTTCCATTTCTTATTTCTAGTTCACATTCCTAACTGATAACATCGTCTATCGTCTGGATCAGAAAGGCTTTAGCAAAGCCATTTTGTAGATGTTGGTTGTCTTTCTTATGCGTCTTACAACAGCGGAATACATGCGGCATCTCATAGCAATGGAACGGCGGGCAGGCACGAAAGTTACTGCCTATTATTTCACTGCAAATAAAACGTCAAACAATCAGTCGGGTAGATTACCTTTGCTGCGTATGCATAAAGAATCCGGTCCGGTCTTTCGTCGCTGTTTATATAGTGAGTGATTTTATCTTCGTTTTCTACTTGAGGATAAATCTGGTGTCCGACAGTTACTAGTCTGCTTTACAGATTCGAACACACAGCAGGGTAATATAAATAATGGACATTCAGGGGAGATGAACATCATAGCGATGCAATCTTTTCCTTTTGCCACCAGAAAGTCAGAAAAGAGACAAATCAAAGGCGTGAAAGGCAGACTGATATTTCAATGTTCACAAACTTTCATCCCATTAAAACTTTTGTAAACTAAGCGACAGATGTGGATTTGCAAATCTAAGGCATCAAAATGTCATTTACATTACCAGGGGGTTAAATCGAAAAGAAAGGAATGGAAATATCGATTCACAGCATGAAATACAAAAAACACATTTTAATGGGGATTTGGGCAGGTCGCTGTGGAACATACCTTGCTTTCGCTTTAAAGTTCAAATTTAGGGTTCAGAAAACAGTGCGGCGTAAAATTTTTCACTTCGGCTGTTAATTTCTCTGAGCAATAATTTCACCCAGGTGCTTCGGTGTAACCAGTCGAACTGCGAATAATAAGTTCCGATTAATAAATCTTGAAGCTCCTCCAAGACCAGTTTTTACGGCGTACTGCGTTGCCCCCTTGATTTTGGTTGCCCAAAAAGCCATGCTGTGCCTCCTTGCTGCTTAAATAGCACCCTAAGCAACTAAGAATGGTGGACTGCGGTTTTCTTGGAAAGATTAGGTGCTACCTCAATGTCGATGCCTTCGAATAATACAGGTATTTTTATACGAAAGTTCGAATTCACTAGGTTTACTGTATTATCTGGCTGCATGGAATCATCGTGTGTTAAACGCTGATGAATGTTAGACTCGCCTTGCAGACTTGCATCGCTTCTTGACAAATGATATCGCCACGTGGAGCGGATACCTCTTGAGCGCCGATCAGCTTCGCCTTGAATTCGACGCCTTCGCCTGCGAATCGAAACGGGTCTCCCGGAAAAGCTGAAACACGGCGACACTTTGTTCAAGAGCATGCCGTCCTGTCGACGATCAGCTTACCGTTCAAAGACGATGTGGTCGAGAGCGTGACGGACGTCAGTCCATTTCGCTTCTTCAGGCTGAACTTGTTGCGTTTGTGGGCCGGACTCTGAGAAGTGGTCGAAGCGATGCTGACGCTTTTACGGACGCCATCGGTGACCACCGGGCGATTGTCGTCCAACGACAATCCATTGAAACTCTCGCTGTACCTGAGCGTCGTTTCGTACACGGGCTGCTTGTCAACGACCTCATCGAACTCGACGTTTCTCAACTTTTCAGGGCGCATATTACTATAAAAACAGCTGCAAATGGAACGATTTCAAAGTTCAAGTCAAACGCGCAAATTCAAACGAGAATAACAAACACATTCGTTAATAGACATGCGAATTCAGTCCTGACTCGTAGCTTCTGCAAAAATAACTAGGAATGAGGAAATAGGTGTATTTTATATAAAAAAATAGTTGCCTAGAAAATAGCATAAGAGAACCCCAGCTTGTACTTGACGTAATTCGTACCGTAAGGGTGGGGGCAGTTCAGCAGATCAGTAAAGCGCAAATAACGGCTCATTTGAACGTTTCTTTTCATTGTTTTTCTTTTAACCTTCGTCTTTCTTATACCTTTTCATCTGCTTTTAGTCTTTTCGGTCATCATCTTCATTCTATTATAATGATCAGATCACGATCGTCATTTGCATTATTTTTTTATTGTCATCTTCCAGCGTATTTTCAACTTTACCGTAATCATGACTTTCCGTAGATATTTTTCTTTGTCATAATGGCTTCATATAAATATGACAATACTTCCGACTCTGAACCCGTTGCTGCAATTGCAGACGGTTTGCTTATTCATGGTTGTGGGTGCATAGCAACGCAGATGTTAACACGTTATTGCCATAGCACTGCCTTACATACACAAAAACACATCGATTTAAAGTGAGTGACAGATTAGCACCAGGAATATTCATAATCTTAAATTTTAGAGTTTAATCCCAGCTACTCATTACGCCATTGCAAACTTTCCTATTGAGTCCAAAATAGCATTCATATTTTCACTTATCATAACAAAGCACGAGTATTCAATGCACTCACGATGTTTGACCTCCAAAATATGTAGGGACTCGTTTATCAAAACATCAATCGTTGATCGATGGTTGCCAGTTTCACACAGATTCGTCTGACGGAAGGAACATACTTCGGCATCACTATACTCTTTTTCTTTTTCCTCAACTTTCACCTCTTTTTATTGTTCTTCACCGTTACTTTCTTCGTGTTCATTTTCGCTATAATCGCCATCTGACTCTTCCCAATTTCGCTCATAAAATTTCCTGGCCTTT